CTCCATCTTGGACTCCATCTCAGACTCCATCTCAGGTCCATATGAGACTCCATCTTGAGTCCATCTCAAACTCCTTCCCAAACTCCATCTCGGACTCCATCTCAGGTACATCTCGGGCTTCTTCTCAAACTCCATCTCAACACTTCCATATGTCATGTATTGGTCCTCTTGTGTCCCTTTTCTAGAGACTCACTTACCACTTGCTTCAAGCTCGTTCCTCGAGCATTTTGTTGGGAGTTCCACTCCCACTTTTGATTGTTCAAGTCGGATCTTTTAGTATAAATGTGTTATGCTTGTTTGACTTCTGCTTTGGCCATTACCACATAGCACCCTTTTGGCTCCAATTTGGGGCTTAGGGTTTTGTGTCTCACAATTAATTAGTTTGCTAAGTCAAATGCTTATATAAATCATATCCTCAACTCTCTAAGGAAAACCTTCTATTATTCCCAAAATCCCAAAGTCATTCCCTTATTAACCCTTTCTATCCACCACATTGCTTACATATTCACATATAAACTAAAGTGAAAAGCCATGCCTTCTCGACATGCTACTCTTCGAGGATAAGCCCATTTTTGGGACCTTTTGATGCCAATACAAGTGGTGATATACTTGACCACCAATGAAAGTCAAACTAAGGAATAGCTCTGATACCAAATTATAAACGACTAAATTGTCCATTCTACGTTAGTCACTTAACCACACCTTTAACCACTTGGAGGTGTCTCACTCACAACCTCCATAAATCTTATTCCTAACTTGGGGGCATGCTAGTTATGTGAATGGCATCTATGCCACTCAGTCTTTGCATTTGGCCCAAGTGTTCCAAATGTTTAATTTCATACAAACACCCAACAGTGCCACTGACATATCAACTCAATACACTAAGGTTATACCCATTCACCTTTATCACATTGGTAGTCCAAGACTACTTATATTACAATCTCGTCTCCAAGAGACTTGGCCACCTGTCTATGAGTGGTCATCCCTTAACCACAGCTTAACATCCTTAGAATGTCCAAAGACATGGGGAACACTTTTACCCAACATCCCTTCTTCAATCCCCACCAAGTCCCACTCCATCCCCGACAGTGTTTACCAATACTGCCATTGAGTCAGGGCCCAAGGGCTTGACCACTAAATCCTAATGACTTTTGGGACTTCTTCACCACAGGATCATATTTTTGGTCACTACACAAGAGGATTGTTCCTCTTCCTTTCCATAATTCAGGACATTGGGACAACATTTTGAAACACTGTAACCCTATACAAGCCTCATGTGTATTCTCCCCACCTTCTACTATTGGGTGCTCTAGTCATATAGCTAGAGTAAGGTTTCAATAAGCCATACTAGGTATCCAAGTAGGTAGTGCCACCCACATTTAAATTGGGAACATTGACCATTTGATCTCTCGAAGGAACTAGAGTCAACTCTTGAACACTTCACCAAGCTACCCCATAGCTTGTCCATCTATGTTCACTCTAACTTTGGACTTTTTAATAGTTATATCATTGCCCACTATATAGCCTTCCATGATCACACTAGCCTTTTCTGGCCAAACAAATTCCACTGAAGTCCTCCCCCTACTATCCTTTTGAAGCTCACCAAACCCTTTAAAGTCTAGGAGATGATTGCTTTGGCTTTCACCCTCGGACTTGAATTCAGACTTAGATTTGGACTCGAAGTTGAACTTGGACTCGAACTCGGTCTCAGTCTCGATCTCGGTCTTGGTCTCGGTCTCGGTCTCGGCCTTGATCTTGGACCCAATCTTGGTTTCCATCTCAAACTCGACCTTGGGCTCCATCTCAGGCTCCATCTCAAACTCCATCTTGGGTCCATCTCAAACTCCATCTTGTGTCCATCTCAAACTCCATCTCAAACTCCATTTTGGGTCCATTTTGGACTCCAATTTAAACTCCTTCTCAAACTCCATCTCAGGTGCATCTCAAGTCTATCTTAGATTCGGTCCTGACACTTCCATGTGTTATGTGTTGGTCCTCTTGTATCCTTTTTTTATAGGTTCACTTATTGATCGCTTTGTGCTTATTCTTTGAGCACTTCATTAGGAGTTCCACTCCTGCTCTAGACTTTTCGAGTCAAAGGCTTTAATCCAAATGTGTTACATTCATTTGGCTTTTGCTTCAGCTACTACCACATGGCACCCTCTCGGCTCCACTTTGGGGCTTAAGGATTTATGTTTCATAACTACCTTTTGCATTTACTTCCACTATAGTGGGTATGAAATGTGCTAATTTAGATAACTGATTCACCACCACAAATATCACATCAAACCCCTCATTTGGGGGGAGTCTCATGATGAAGTTTAGCATAAGACATTTCTATAGACAATCTGGGATTAATAAGCCCCCACTAACTTTAGTCACAACCTTCATTTGTTGATATGTTGGATATATTTTTATATAGTCTTGAATGTCTTTAGCCATGTTTAGCTAGTGATATTTTTTCTTCAGCAAACCCATCATCTTGGGCACTCTGTCATCTCCTACATAAGATCCATCATGACACTCCTTTAAGGCTACCTTCCTTAGTTCCCTTTGTGGAATATATATCTTTGTTTGCTTATAATAAACAAGTCTATTGCGTTTCACATACTTAGTTTTTTCTTTCCATATTTTTTGTGAGCATTCTACACCTCTTTGTTCCTTAGCAACACTTCTTATACTTAACCATCATCCATATATACTATCCATACATCATCTTAAAAAGTTGTTGTTGTATTGGATACCACCAATTTCAAACTTACTTTCCGACTTAGAGTATTTGCCATGATATTGCTCTTCTTAGGTTTATATAGAATCTCATAATCAAACTTGACCAAAGCATTGGCCCACCAACCCTATTTTCTTCAAAGGTCAAGCTATGATAAGAAATGCTTCATTCCCACATTATCTGTGTATACCTTGAGGTACCTCCCAAAGTAGTGTTGCCACTCCTTAAGTGCCTTAACCACTATAAACAATTCCCTTTCATGGGCAAACTATGTTCATTGAGCTTTGTCCAACTTCTTTAAGAAAAACACCATTAGCTAATTATCTTACTTCAAAATTGCACCCAATGCAAAGTTTGAGATGTTCGTTTTTACCTCAAAGTATTTACTAAAGTCTAGTAATGCCAACACGAGAGTCTTTCTCAACTTCCCTTTGAGATGGATAAATACCACTTCATATTCTACTATTCATACCATCTTCTCTTTTCCCTTTTTATTTTGTTAAATGCAAAATTACTCTTAAATAGTGTTTTATGAAATTTCGATAGTAATTGCATAACCCCAAAAACACCCTTAACTCGTGTACATTCAATGGATGTTCTCATTCCTAGATTGCTTGGACTTTCTTAGGGTCCACTTTGAGCCCATCCTTACCCACTACATACCCAAGAAATTTTATATTTTATTAAGCAAAGTTACATTTATTTTCTTTAGTGTACAACTTATGTTCCCTTAGTTTTTCAAATACCCTCGTCAGGTGTTTGATAAATAAGGTACAAGATATGGTTTGAGAACATTATTAATGCATTGCACAGCCCAAAGGGCATCACTAAAAACTCAAAAATTTCATACCTTGTTTAACAAATTGTTTTTTCGACATCTTCCTTTACTACCTTAATTTAGTAGTATCGTAACCTTAAATCAATTCTCAATAAATATTTTGCCTTTCCCAATCTAATGAACAAAAATCCTCAATCTTTGGTAAAAGGTACTTGTTCTTTTTTATATACTTATTTAGTAACCAATAATCTATCCAAAGCCATCTTTATTTTTCACAAATAACATTAGTGCCTTAATTTGGCCACACATACTTAAGGCTTTAAGTTGGAGACAAGGAAATTGGCAAACATGATGGTGGATTTGTATGCCTTTTTAATACCAATGTTATAATCCAGCCCGAAAAGACAAAAATTTAATCTTTTTAGACTATGCTACATTTTCTCTTAAAGTTCTTTACCACCTAACTACCCCACCTCAAAAACTTCACTGCACTACTGCTCCACTATGAACCCTAGGGTAAGTTAAGTTCCTTACCCCAACATACTTTAATATACCCTTGAGTCGCCAGCTTTGACCACATTAAGTGTGGAAGTTTAGACAATGCTTGCCAGATCTTTGATTCAATGGAGCAGCATGACATCGTTTCCTGGACATCAATCATCACAGGCTATGCTCACGAGAGCCAAGATGGAGAAGAGCTTTGCTTCTACAAGGATTTAAACCCAATCGTTTAGCTTGTCTGGCCACTATCAAGGCTTGTAGCATTCTAGCCGAGAAGAAACAAGGCAAGATTTAGATGTAGAATCTCTTGAGAAAGCAATTGGATTTCACAGCTTGGCCTGGAGAAGGATCCATCGCTTGCTAACAGATGTATGCCAAGAGCGGAAGCTTGATCGTGGACGCTTGCCGGGTGTCTGATAAGATCTTAGATCCCAACATAGTCTCGTGGAACTCTTTCCTGTTTGGATGTGTTTATAACTGTGAGGACGAGCTTGCATTGGAAAGTTATGCGGCCATGGAAGTTGCTCCAAACTCTCTTGTGTTGTTGCAAGCTTGTGGGAACGTGGGAGATTTGAAGCTTGGGAAGCTCTTCCACGGACAGATTCTCCGGCAGAGACTAGAAGAGTGTTTTCACGCCTCTGTGGCTATTTTCCTGCTCGACTTCTACTGTAAATGCGGGAGCGTCGAGGACACCGAGCTCCTGTTTGAGAGCTCAGGTCGAAATGCATCCCCTACCCGAGATTCCATCACTTCCCCAACACTGTGGCGTGGAATACTTTGATCGCAGGACATGGCGCTTGAGGAGACGCCATCGCTGCGTTCCAAGCGTTTCGGAGCATGCGAGAGGAAGCCAAACAGCGTAACCTTTGTGGAGATATTCTCAGCGTGCAGTCACGCAGATATTCTCGATCGAGGAAGGGAGTTCTTGAATGGAATGTGGTCCAAGTTTGCACATCGAGCACTTCTACTGCATGACCAACGTTCTTGGCCGTGTAAGTAACGTCCAGGATGCCATTGCTTTAGCGAGGAGAATGCTATTCCAGCCAAATAGCGTGACATGGACAACGATATGGAGGAAAAGATACACTTGAGGAAAAACTTGATAAGTAAAAGCGAGTTTACGCAGTGGACTTGCCAAGCTCGAGAGCGATTTCACGCTAGCTCTCGCCATGCTCTCACTTTGGATGTTTGTCACAAAGTCTTCGAGAAGCCACCACCGATTCCCGCCATTGTTTCACGGGCACCTGTGACTTCAGTAAGCACAAGAGCTTTTGCAACTAAACTTGGAAAAGAAACCATACTGCTGGAAAACCGGCATAGTCTCCTGGCTCGGTAATGTTTGAGGTAACTCCACTTTTCGCTGCGATTCGGACCTGGAGAAAAGAAAGTGCTGAAGAGATTGGCAACATCAGGAAGTAGGACCTTTGAAGCGATTTCTATGTGGTCCGCAACACCTGCTTGGCCACCCAAGACTACATTATCTCCTAGTCTGCAGCAAAGAAAAAAGAGAAAGATCTCAAGAACAACAAGGTTGTTCGTACTTACGTGCAAGATCCGGCAATTCCAACTTGTCCACAAATCATACAGTCGCATCCTATCACAACATTGTGTCCAATCTACATGCAAACAAGCCAAGAGTAAGCTCAAGAAAAGAAAACGTTTCTCAAACCTGGACCAAGTTGTCAAGCTTCGTGTTATCCCCGATGACTGTGTCACGCCAGCTGACGATCCATCCAGAGCAAACGAGACTTAAGAAGAACATGTAACATCTTTTGTTACCTCCCACGGTCGATGGACGAATTGGCACCGATTTCCACACTGTTTCCAATCTTTACCCGCAACTCCTAAGAAAAAAAAGACAAAAGGATCATGAGATAAGAGAAGAAAGAACGCATAGAAACTTTCCTGGGGCTTCTTGACAATGCTATTGTTTGAGTCGTAAGTGAATCCAAAACCTTGGAAGAAATCACGAATCACATAAGAAAAAGCTTTCGGAAAGAAACATACCATCTTGTCCCACGCAAACACCGCTATGGAGGGTGCAAAAATCTCCAATCGAACAGTTTTGCAGCACCACGTTATACCTGTGACATCGAAGTTGCCAAAAGAGAGGGTGAGAATAAAGGAAGAACTCCGATACCTCAATACCACCGAAGAACCAATGCAAACATCCGGTCCAACAATACATCCCGATCCAACGTGAGAAGACTCACCGATCGTGGCACCAGCGTGTACAACTCCACTGATTTCCACCACCACCGATGGATCAACCCGCGCAAGCCTGTGCACATTTCCCCCGCCTCTATCCCATCTCTCAAACTCTGGAGCTTGAGCAAACCAAGCACTCTGGATTTTGGGCACTAGAACCAAAGCACCAGTAAGAGGACCTTGTCCGCATTCTTGCGAGGGAATCGCTCGAGACACTACCTGCGTGGCGCCTTGAAATCGCCAGCACTTGGATCGCTAGCCGCGCCATCGAAAATTAGGGTTCTTGGGGTTTATCCTATGTTCTAAATTTTGCCAATGCGGCTGCGATGATGGATCGTGACGCGCGCGGCGACGCGAGATCTGGCTCCGCGGCGATGAATCCTCCATCGCGTTTTCATGAAGGCGCTCAAGAATGCCGCGGCGGCCAGCATCCCCGAGTTTCTTGCTGCTCTCAAGAACTGCCGCGGCTCCAAGGATCTCCATACAGGTATGAAGATACATCGCGACTTGATCCAGTGTGGGAAGGACAGGCACATCTTCGTTGCCAACACTCTCATTGCGATGTATGCTAGATGCGGCAGCCTGGTGGATGCTCGCCGGATCTTCGACACAATGCCGCATCACAGCCTTGTCTCTTGGAGCGTTTTGATCGGGGGCTATTCCCAGAATGGAGAGGGGAGTTTAGCTGTGGAGTTATTCCAGAGGATCCAGGAAGAGGGAAGTTGTCAACCGGACTCCACGCTCTTTGTCGCTGCTTTGAACGCGTGCTCGAGCTTGGCAGTGAAGGATGACTGCCACGATCGAGAAGACAAATCTACGAGCAATGGAATCTGGCTAGAAAAGGGGAAGTCAATGCATGATCAGCTGAGAAAAGATGGTCACGAATCCAACCTCTTTGTTGCGAATTCTTTGGTGGATATGTACGGAAGATGCGAGAATTGTTTTCGAGGGAATGGTTTGTCGAAATGTGGTGACTTGGGGAGCTTTGATTCTTGGATATGCGTATAATGGACAAGGAGAGACAGCTCTAGCGATGTTCTCACGCATGGAGGAGGAAGGTTGTGATCCTGACTCACAGGTTTTCATTGCGACGCTTAAGGCTTGCATTGATATTGGAGAGAAAGAAGTTGGAGAAATGGTGAAGGGAAAGGTGGTAAAAACTGCAAGTTTGGAGAAAGGAAGAGTTCTCCACGCCAAGCTTTCTTTGAGAGGATACGAGGCAGAAATTTTTGTAGCGAATACACTGCTGGATATGTATTGCAAGTGTGGGAGCATGGTGGAAGCACGCAGGGTGTTTGAGAGAATGCCAAGCCACAGCCTTGTCTCATGGGACACTCTCATCAATGGATACTCTCAGAGCGATGAAGGAGAGCTCGCCCTTGAGCTCTTCAAGCGCATGGAAGACAAAGGCTTTGTAGCGGACACTCGGCTCTTCATGGCGGCGTTGCGAGCTTGTGGAAGTATTGCTGCATTAGAAGCCGGAAGAAGGATTCATGCACAAGTTTCTGGTAGCTTACTGGAGAAAGATGTGCTCTTGGCGAATTCTCTCGTCAGCTTTTATGCAAAATGTGGAAGCATGGACGATGCTAAGCAGGTGTTTGATTCCATTGGGCAGAAGGACATGGTTTCATGGACCGCTTTGATCGCTGGATATAGCCATCAAGGAGATTCTAAGCAAGTGTTTGAGCTATTCGAGAGAATGCAAAAGGAGAGCGTGAAACCAAACGGAGTCACTTATCTCTCGGTGCTCACGGTCTGCAGCCATGCGGGCTTGTGGATCAAGGAAAGAGATACTTCGAAGCGATGAACACGGTTCATTCAATCTCTCCCAGCCTTGAGCACTATATCTGCGTGATAGATCTTCTCGGCCGTGGGAATCAGCTGGAACAAGCACTATCAGCACTCGAGAGCATGCCTTACAAGCCAACTTTGGTGGCATGGAGGACGGTTCTAAGCGCTGCAAGGAAGTGGAAGAATGTAAGTGTTGGCCGCCTTGCTTTTGAGTCGATACTGAGGCTGGACGATAAAGACGATGCGGCCTATTTGCTCATGGCGAACACGTACGCTGCTGCTGGTTTGTGGGAGGACTTCGCTCGGGTGGAGGCAATGAGGAAAGAAGCTCGGTGTTGGAAGAAGCTTGGACAAAGCTGGTGGATTGACAGTGCCGGAAAAGTCCACAGGTTCGTCGTTGGGGACACTACTCACCACCAAAACGAGCAGATCCTCGCAAAGCTCGGAGAACTCCAGTCCAGAATCAAGGAAGAAGCGGGCTACACTCCCAACCTCGACTGTGTCCTCCGAGCTCTTCCAGACAACGAGAAGGAGTCGGCACTGTGCGGACACAGCGAGAGACTAGCGATTTGCTGCGCTCTCTTCAACACACGAGCGGGGACCACGATCAGGATCATAAAAAACCTCCGCGTTTTCGAAGACTGCCACCGAGTCACGTCGATCATCTCCAAGCTCGAGCGGCGAGCTATCATCTGCAGAGACGCGGTTCGGTTCCATCTGTTTGAGGATGGATGCTGCTCCTGCCGAGAGTTTCGGTGACAATCAATGGTAACAACAGATTTTCTTAAGTTCTCCAGTGACCAACAAGCACGTAAACAAGAACAAAGGTGTGATATCTCTGTCTAATATTGATACATGTTTTTTTTCCTTTCCAGGATCCAAGACCACGACGATCCCGGCCCTGCCACGGACGCTAGGTGCCAATCAAACTTTGCCATCCCCAAGGTAAAAAAGAAAAAAAAAAAAAGATTTTTCATAGCTTTGAGCATTCACCCCGCCACATGCCCGATTTTGTCCAGGGTACAATTGTCGCTGCCTTCGTCTTTGAGTGCCTCGTGCAGATTCGCATTTGTCAGGAATTATCGATCCTGACACGAACAATCAAACACCCAGAAAACTGCCATGGAAGTTCATCTTCTAGTGACTTGTTTGCTCATCCAAATCTTGAGCTATATAATAAGGCCCCTCACTACTGCACTCCACTCCAGCTTTTGCCTCAAATCACTTTACAACGATGGCAATTTCTATCACTTATAAGCTTGTGTTCTTCATGACCGCGTCTGTATTCTTCTTCTTCACGAGCACCACTGCCGCCGTTCTTAATCAAGCCCAGTGTGAAGAACAGATAACAGCCAGCTGCACGAAGGATGGCATTCCATCATCGGAAAAGTGCTGTGCAACAATTGCAAGGATCAAGCAGGAGTCCCCTAATTGTTTGTGTGGGTTATTCGTGCAGCCAGGCAGGGATCGCCGCAGCTGCTATATCGGTGGATACTGCCCGCCTGCAAACGATCTCATGACTGGATGCAACATTTCCAATAACGATCTCCAGTGCTGAGTGGAATTACCTTAAATGGTTCGGATGAACATCACAATGTGAAACATTGCATAAATAATATATGTACGGTTAATTGCATTAATTAGTTTTATATGTTTAATTTAGCCCTTGGTTGGATATGGTAAACGCTCACTTAAGCCACACTTATCACCGAAAACGCTCTCAAACAGGAGGATGTGATTCATCACATAAAGTTTTTCCTCAAGTGTCCATGCGTCGAGAATCGTGGTGGTCCATGTTGACAGTATTTGGCCACCAAAACCGCTCTCAAACAGGAGGATGTGCTTAATCACATCAACATGTGTATGTTTTCTTCCATGCATCGAGAATTATGGTCCATGTTGCGCTATTTGGCTTCCATTTACAGTGCAGCTGAACCAAACGCCATGACTACGCCCCAGACAAAAAGCCCAGGAAAGAGCAATTGGATGTAGTGCATGCCCGCGGATTTCCAATTTCTTGGTAAACAGGACCTCATTGTCAATACCCTGCTGCCAGTTTTGGAAAGCTGGAGATTATGATTGTTCTAGTGCGCAAGTGCTTCTTTTGAATGTTTTTGTGATGGAGGTACTCCTTTCTTTGTTTTGTATGTAACAAGGCCAAGCTACAAGCAAAGAAGGCCTTTGGATCCTGGTCTAGTCAATGAAGTGGACTGGAAGCCAGGTATGTACTGCAAATTTCATGAGCAAGATTAACTAAGTATGATAGTAATATGTAGTTTACTTCAAGTCAGGACAACTAAATAAGGGAAAAATAATTGTAAGGGAAAATAAGGGAAGACTTAGCATTTTTTTGCTAAAACTAATTAAAATATGACTCAGATCATATTTTTGTCTTTTGATATTTCTTTCTAAAAACACCTTTATATGCTCCACAAGCAAGGAGCTAGGCATCTGGGCATGACGAAAGGCAAGGCTTGCATTGAATCGAGAAAAACTTTAGACAAGGATCTGCTGCTATGCGGGGCAAAAAATGAAAATTCTATTCTTCTCTTCACGACATTTCTATTGATACGTTGGCGGTGCCGGTGCTGGTCACACTGATATAAACAGCTTAAGCTTTTCGCATTCCTGGAAATCGTCAAACACGCAAAGAGTGTTGGGATATCATACTGGTAATTGCTTCATGGAAAGATCTCCGTTTTCTCACTCTTTTTTTCTTTGAGGTTCTTGAGCGTTTCCTGGATGAGATTCACTTTGGCAGTCTCCTCGTCTTGGTATTTCTGGAGCGTCGCTAGATTGTCTTGATTCTCTCGCATCTCAGACAGCACCCGGTGATACTCGAGATTCACCTGCCGGTATTTTCGCTACCCTCATCTTTACCTTTCATCTTTTTCATTTTTCCCATTCGAAGTACCTTCTCAAGACGAACTTTTGTCTCTTGCTCTCGGCTTTCCAGCTGCACCACCTTTCTCTGCGCGTCGGCAATGTCTCTGGCGAGCTTCTGGAGAAGAAAGCGAAAGAAGAGTCAAAAAGGAAGAGCACGGAGGCCCTGGAGCAAGCATCGTCTCACGGCCTTGGCTTCGACGCTGTTGAGGAATCCGGGGCGGGATTCTTCTGAAGTTATTGATGAGCTTCTGCAGCGACAGGTTAAGCGCCTGCGAGACGATCCTCTGCCGGCAATACGGGCACGTCTTCTTGCGGTTCGTCACCGTGTGGATCTCAAGGCACTGCCCAAGACGAGCAACGAGAAGATCGCCATTGATGATCCGATTGGTGCAAACCTTTGCGCAGAAGGTGTGGCCGCACGGGTAGAGCAGGATGGGCGAGTACGTGGGCGATTTCATGAGCTCGAAGAAAATGGGGCATATGTTGCTCTCGATCTCCGCCGCCAAAGAGCTTTGCGCGCGAAAAGCGAGAGAGAAAATCGATCAGGGCGGGGAGAAATGGATTGATTGGAGAAATGATCGATACCAGGCAATGGCGGGGGCATCGTGAAATAGCAGCGGCCATGGAGCGTCGGAATCGGCCATGTCTTGGTCGCCATAGCTTCGTCCAACTGCCGAAGCGATTGATCCCGGTAGACATAGAATATCCCCCAATTTAAATTCCAGTAGTCCTGGGTTCGATATCGAGAATGGGCTCTTAGTTTTTTCAATGAAAAAGGAAGAGCTTCATTTCCAATTGTAAAACTAGGTTTGGATCGCTGGAGAGTGTGATTCTCCATATGATTCTCCACCCTTGAGTGACAGTTCTTCAGGGAAGAGCTCTGGTGACTCATCATCCTCAAGTCTTGAGCATCTGCGAACAATTCCTTCAATGGGTTAGAAGCTTGGGTAGACATTATAAGCTTGTACATGTTGAGATTACGCAAACAATCCAGGAAGTAATCCTTCTCCACCTCCTCCATATAGTCACTTAGAACTTGGCTAAGCATCCCAAACACTATTGATATCCTTTCAAGGATATGAGGGTATTTATCTAGAGAAAGAACGGCTCTATAACCTCTCCTTGATCGTAACCGATGCACATCTCTTAATCAGTTTGCTCACCTCTCCTTGACTGCTCCAATGACTCAGCTGTCCCAACACTCCCCCTCAGCCGAGAGCTCTTCCTCAAATCTGACCTGGTTCCATGCCTAGCATTTTTCTCAGCCGCTGAAATGTTGATTTGTCTAGGGGCTTGGTGAGGATGTTTGCTACCATGCCTTCACACTTGTCTCCTTGCAATGTGATCCCGGATCATGTGGAAGCGAGCCTCAATGTACTTAGTTGTCCCATGGAGACCAGGATTGTGGGCTAGCTGTATTGTTGTTGAGAAGTTGAGTTGGTGCTTGTTGTGTCTCTCCTAGGTCCTCAAGAAGCCTTGTAGGCCAAAGAACTTCTTTTATAGCAGCATCCACAGCCATATATTCTGCTTCACAAGTTGAAGTAGCCACTAGTTGGGAGGTTTCCTTGTCACCAAGTAATCAGCATTAGCAAACCCAAGTATCCTCTCCCCCTGTGCAAGCAGTTCCTCATATCGATATTTCTGTTAGGCTGCGTGCCAGTACCCCAAACCAGGATTTTGCAGAAACTGGAGCCATTTGCACCTGCTCTTTATTCTTGAAATGTGCTAAATTTAAGTGATGAATACATTCGCACTATGTTTTAAAATAAAGTAAATTACTTTACATTAAAATTTAGGATATTTTTTTAAAACATTTTGATTCGCACACAGTGCTAACTTTAACACAATGTTTTCACTTTTTAAAACATTCAAACCAATTTTAAAAGATGGGGGGGTTTCTTTAAAACTTAAAATATTTTTAAAAGGAATCTCCAAGATTCCCCAAAGATTCTAGTGCCCTGATTAAGGCATTTCAGATTTTTGTCGCGAGCTGCCGTGAGCTCAGGCATTTTATGGTGGGGGAGCCGACAACAGTCATTGCCCTAGGGTTAGATCCTGTTGGGGATTTAGTGGAGGAAGGAGGAGGAGTTGATTTTGGGGAAGGAGGAGCTGTAGGGTTTGACGAGGAGATGGTGTGGGTTCGGGGCCATCCAGCGAGGAGGTGCTGCTCGTGGAGTGAGGAGCAATCATGGTGGAGGAGCATTTGGGGCTGGAGGACGAGCACCAGGCCCAGCTGTTGCTCGAGGAGGTAGGCTGCCTCGGGGCCGAGGCCGTGGAGATGCCAATCTCTCGAATCTTGGCCTCAATCAGGGCGGACTTGGAGCTGGAGTGCAGGAAGCTGTAGCACGGGGAGCTGGAGCACGGGGAGCTGTAGCACAGGGAGTTGGAGCCTCTCCCCCCACGGCTTCTAGAACTCGATTGTTCTCTGAATTCTCTTCTATGACAACCAATGAGGTAAGCTTCAAACCTAGTTTAGCTCAGATTCTAGGAGAGTGGTTTCAGGTTTAGGGTGGCGAAGTAGGTGACCTGGAGCAGGAGTAGTCACCAGGACAGCAGTATATGCAATTCTAGTTTCATAACTTGGAGGAGCAGGATGACGTTGCCGTTGAACAGAAGGTGGAAGAAGATGATCGGGGTGATGAAGAGGAAGGTGATGACGACGAGGAAGGGGAGGCAGGTGTTCATGTCGTGAAGAAAGTGAGGAAGAAACGTGGGAAAGACTGGGGGGATGATGAGATGGCTTCCCTCATTGACTTCAAATGGGAAGATCATCTTGGAAAGATCGGGGCAATGTGGGGTAGCGAGGAGATGACGTTGACAACAACTGATCGTTGGAAGAGGATTGCAAAGAAGATGCAGGCTGCTGGCATGCAGCGAGACTGGAAGGCTTGTCGGACTCGCTGGAACAACCTTTGCAACGACTACAAGTGCGTTTGCGATTTCCAGAGGAAAACTGAAAACCCCGACTACTTTAGCTTGAGCCACGAGGATGCGAAGAAACTTATGCCAATGAAGCTGAACTTGAAGGTGTTCCCAGTCTGAGTACTTCAACATCATGGATGAATTCCTAGCGAAGCAAGCATCAACATCTCCAACATTTCTTGCTGATTCAGATGCTCTAGAAGAGGAAGCTTACGAGGAGGATCCCACGGATGGTGTTGATCCTCTTGGAGATGCTACACAGGTGCCAGGGAGTTCAGGGAAGTGAAAGAACCCGAAGAAGGCCGAGAAAAGCATGACAACTTTGTTCACTAAGGGGAATGCTCTCGCTACTGCTCGAAATGAGCAGAATCTAGCGTGGCAAAAAGAGAACATTATTTGCATGAAGGAGAATAGCCTGACTGAGAAGGAAAAGGCTGCAGCTGCAACAGTTTTAGCTGGAGCCATCTCCAACCTTGCAAGCTCCATCTCCAACTTCTTGAACGGGGCTGCATCCAGGAGTTAGCCGTCTTGTTTTCGGGATTTTAGGGGGACGTTAATTATTAATATTAAACTAAACTATGTTTAGGCTATGATATTTTAGATTTTTTCTAACCATTTTTTTTTCAGGATC